CCAGTTTTGCTTGTATGACTTGTGTTGATCAATTTGGGAAATTTAATTTCTTTTACCACAAACTTGTTACTTCTTTAGTGATTTTCTTTATACGTTCTTTCCTTCCTTTTATGGATACTCCAAGAAACAGATAGCGGCCAACAATCTGGAATTTGAGTGGGTATCCTGCTTCTTTTCCCAGTGATTAATTTCTAGTGGAACAGTTCTTTTTTTCTTATGTGATTCTTGAAATATTATGAGATTCTTCATTCAAATCTTATTTATTACAGTGCTAGGAGCACTTTTTATGAGACATTATGGTTAAAAATTAATACTTTGAGATCTTTCAACAAATCAGTCAGCGTTGCTCAATTAGGAAGCTTATATACGGTGAAACAAAAAAATATTTATATAGTCACACAAAATTCTCGTCATAAATTTCCAGAAAGTTCTAGAAGGCTCCAGGAAGTTCTAGAATGTTAAAGGAAGTTATAGAAGGCCCCAGTCATAGTATTACTATATTTATATACGAATTTAGAAATTTCGTGTTGGGGGTGACATTTAAAAAATAAACTGAATTAAGCGCTTCATTATTTTTTAACAAATGTTCATCGAATTATGATAGAGGAAATCATCTATTTTGAAAAAGTCATAACATCATAACCCTAATATATATATATATATATATATATATATATATATATATATATATATATCAAAATGCTATAATTTATATTAATAATGAATATACAATTTTTTTCTTCGCCCGTAGCATAACTCAGAGTTTTATGCACAATGCAATTATCAGTGAAATTCCATGAGAAAAATTTATATTTATTATTATTAATATATGTGTGTGTGTGTGTGTGTATATATATATATATATATATATATATATATATATATATATATATATATATATATTCAAACAGGTTTGGTTAAATATGTTAGACATATCATTCGTTATCTATCCTTTCAAGTTCGCGGATTCATTTTTGTAGACTGAGAAAATTGAGTAAGAAAAATACCAAAATGTTCTTTCGAATAGTTTTTATTTTCAAAAGTACTTTCAATCTCATTTGAGACCATCTTTAGGAGGTTAAATTGTCTGAGAGTATGTATATGTGTTTCTGTGAATTTAAAACATTTCAACTATTCGGTTTTTTTTTTTTTTTTTTTTACTGTTTATGCAGCGTCTAGATTTCAAAGTTCAAACTTCACGTGTTCTTTTTGGTTTTCCCAGTGTAAGGGAAGTAAATTTAGGATATTGTGTCGCTGATGAAATTTTTTATCTCCTTTACGAGATTGTATCTCTGATATAAATTTCAACATGTACGTTGGCTTTACTACGACGATGCTAACAAAAAGACTTACATTTCATTTGGCTGAATATAGCTCAATATTAGTTATTTAGTAATAAGTTATTCCATGTAATAACTTATTACATGGAATCTTAACGTGGTCTGTTTTTTATTCAAACATATCTGCTCTAAATTTTACATTGAGCTCTCTGGATATCATCCTCCTCGCGTCTACCCATACGGATTACCTAAGTTTGCATAAACTGTATATATATATATATATATATATATATATATATATATAACCAAATGAGAGAAAAAAACAGATGGAGTAAAATTCCACATTTCATAGCATTTACTTTTCAAAAATTGCTCAATACAAAGTTGATCAATATATATATATATATATATATATATATATATTTTTATATATAAGAATAATATTATATTTTATCATATTATTATTATAATAAAAACCTTTTGAAATCGCTACACGAAAGCTTTCATGCTTTAATACTATGATTGTATTTCTTCAGGTGATGGTGGGTAACTGGCGATTAAATGATTTTTAAGTAAATTTAAAAACAAAGTCTTACTTCTTTTCCGAAGGTTAAAGGGGAGGAACATAACGTCGGGGGTGGGTACGTATAAATATGAATTTAATTTCTGATTATTTCATTTCTTTATTAATGACTGAAAATATGTAATGTGCGTGTTTATGTATGTGATGTTAATAGTATTAAATGTATTTTTATCTTATTTCAGGTAAGTTTTAAAGGTGTTTGACATCCTGCTATATAATTAAAGGTAAGAATAGAGCTTTTTATGTCTAATTCCTATTAAAATCACACACACAGACACACACACACACAGACACACACACACACACATATATATATATAATAAAAGCATTTGGTAACGTACTCAATATCAGATATCGTGCATATGTAAATATAAAAGTGGACACTGAATTAAAAAACAAGCGGCAACAGTCTCTTTCATTCTTGAACACAATTTTCATTTTTCTGAAGATTGTGGTTAGTTTGTTGCTGCTTTATGTTGACTATATGGTTCAAGGACTTGAACAGTTTAAAATTGTATGGATCGGGAAAGATCTTTTAGAAATTTCCATAGGGCAGTGATTCGCGAAGCTGTTTAAGTGGAACTTATTTCTCACTGATGGAATACGGAGGAAAGTGGGTTTGCTGCTATGTAAGTAGCATGGCGGATCCTAGCCGTGAAAGTCTAACCTAGAGAGGCAATTCGTCCGAGCACTTTCCATTATAGTAGCAATAAAGCAGTGAGAGACTCGCCACAGCCCGCCTGTGTGGGAGAGGTCGGAGTGAGGGAAACAGTTCTTCTCCCACAAGGACTCGGAGACGCCTTTGAACACTATCAAAAGCGAGGTGTGGGTAGCTTCTGTCCAAATATGGCAACAATACTTCATTTTCGGCCTGATCTGGCTCTTATAAAGGTAGAGGATAGCATGAAGAATCAGGTACTTACAGTACAGGAAGCCAATCCTTTTACCTGCATATATATATATATATATATATATATATATATATATATATATAGAGAGAGAGAGAGAGAGAGAGAAAGAGTGAGATAAATGACAGAGAGGAAGGAAAGAGAGAGATGGAAAGAGAAAATATACACTAGTTTATCCAGTGACAGTAATATTTAAGTAATTTTACAATTGTATTGTTTATATTTTCTGAATGCCCCAACCAGAATTTTCTTGATACAATTTATTCTATTGTCGCAATAGAATTGAGCATTTTAAATCATTAAAATTAAATATATATACAAAGAAACTCAATACAAAACAAAAGAAATACAAATCGATATATTAGCAGCCTGGTCTCCTTTGCCTAAAAAAATGGTATATTCCTTGTTAAATTGCAAACACGGGAGATGTTTGGCAATTGCAATGGATTGTGAAAAACGGAATGTCTCGTTTCTAAGAAGAGATCCGGCTGTTGAAGTGATAAATATATAATACTTTGAGACCAATATCAGTAAAAGTACGAAACGATTTACTTTAAACGCTAGCAGCATCCTTGTCATCATAATCATACAGCATCTCTTCCGTGACTTTTCTGGGGTTGGAGAGGGTAAATATTTTTCGGCCGTTTCCCAGGCAGTAACTCTCCTTTGGGATGGGCTTTTATTGCCTGGCGCCTGAGGTGTCCTCGAAAGGGGAAGTGCCGAAGGGTTTGGGCAATTATTCCACGTTATTGCAGGTAATGGATAAATAACAGGAGAAACCGGGTTCTATAGCCTTGGATGGCAAGTGGTCAGAAAAAAATACTGCAGGAAAAATGATCTGCCTCGTCAGTCATGTATCGAAAGATACATGATCGCCTAAGCGTGTATCACGCATGGCACATAACTGACCGATTGCCGGTTTACCTTTCTCTGAACTTCGATCTTGTGTCATATTCGGTAGCGACGTGAGCGTGCTGAAAAATACAGCCTCGTTGGTTAGAATTATATTGTTGCAGATCGTTTAATATGAGTTCAATCCTCGTTTCGAGACACCCTTCTATTTGTTTCCATCGTTTGTAACAAGCATCTATTTGCTGATAAAGTGAATATGGCAAGGACAGGGACGTACATATAAAACATTAAATACATCATAAATTGTTCTGTTAACTCGTTCTACACAGACGTACAGCATGCGTACTCACAAACGATGAAATCTTTGAAGAAATGGAAGAAAATCCCAGAAAAGACTTTTTCAAATCTCATCAGAAACTTTAGAAAACGATTGCAGCAAGTTATAAAGCTTAGAGGTCATGCTATTGGCTATTAATTTTTCATTTTTTTCTATTTTTCATACTGTACTTATAATTTAGTCTTTTTCCTATTTTGCATAATCACCCCCCCCGTAAAATATGTTGTATTTAAGCTATTGTTCTGAAAATTAAATTTTTATGTTCCTTTTTGTGGTTATTAATATATAAAAAAAAACCTAGCATCATACGGGCATTAGATTCTAAGAAATGGATAAAAATATTCAAAATTGAAGGGTGTATTTCGTCGTTGACTGTATATCTAAATTTGAAATGCGTTCTATTATATGCCATGTCCTTCGGCATGCGGCCGATCGTATATCACCACATCTTCCTCTCCTTTGTAGCTCTTAATAATGTTTGTCTTTTTATTATCTCTCCCGCTGTCTGTACTGTCCATCCATTTACACATGCACAAGTAAGTTTTTTTCTACGTTTCTTGCCTTCAGTATGCCTTGCGAACGTCAAATTCTCCAATCCCTCTTTCCTCTTTTATGTTTCCCAGAATTTTCAACGGTCACTGATTTTAAGTATGTGTTCTTTTTGTTTTCCTGAATGCCAACTTGTAGGAACAAAGTTTCGGTCTTTGATGCTGACAAAACTTAGTTCTTGAAAATGTCCGTGCAAAATCTAACATGTAATCTTTGTTTAAAATGAAATCAATTCATTGAAACGAAAATTACTTTGATTATTTATTCCATCCTCTGCCAGAGTTTCGAATATTTACGACTTCCTCTGCCGATATCCAATGTGTCCGATTTCAGAATCAACTGTTCTCATCAATTATTTCTTATCTACCAAGAGCTGTAAACAACCATTTTTCAAACACTGAGTCTCGAGACAGCATGACAGCACACTTCTTGAGGAAAATTATGGCTTGCTTGGGTGTTTGTCTTCTGTGTGAACATACAAGCAAACTCACATGCAGAGATAGATAGATAGATAGATAGATAGATAGATAGATAGATAGATAGATAGATAGATAGATAGCCCTTTGAATCAGAGGTTATCACATGTGGATTAAATCAATCGTGGATCTGAAATAATAAAACCTTAAATTAACATCAAACTAGTCACTCCACTGAATCCGCACCAATGAAGTGCTGTGTCTCTCTCTGTCACTTGATTTTAGAGCAGTGTTCATTTCGCCACTTCCTTCTCTACTTATGTTTTGTGCACATTTTCTTTATGCTTTTCTCCAGAAATTTGGAGTATAATTCGTTATTCCAAATTTTTTTTTTATTAAATACGAGGTACCGAAAATCATATAAACATCCAATAATCAGTTGATATTGGTATATTTTTTAAAATCGAGCTTTTTCTCGCATAATATTTTTCTAATGGAAATTATTATTATTATTTATTACTTTGTTTTCTATGCTTTGCACTATCACTTTTTGCAAATATCTCTGAATATTTCAATTGTAAACAATTTTCTTAATTATTTTATCCACTCTTACAAATAGTACAAATATTTTGTAAAGTGTTTTGGCCATCTCTAAAGTATAACAGCAGAATTTGGTATTAAGAATGGACATTATAAGTGACCTCTATATTATGAAAATATTCAAGAATTTGGTTATATGCAAATAGTTTACTATTTTTATAAATGACTTGAGTATCTGTGGATTTTACTATCTACAGGGAATCGTGGAAATAGTTCATCACGTATAGCAATGAGCAAATTCGCATGTATCAACACACACACACACACATACATATATATATATATATATATATATATATATATATATATATATATATATATATATACATTAATTCCTTAACTGTAGCACACACTCATCTACAACATATTCGGCGCCATATTTACACACATTTTTTAACAAACATAACATACGCACATGCACATACACATATATATAATTACATATACATATATGTAATTACATATATATATATATATGTGTGTGTGTGTGTGTGTGTGTGTGTGTGTGTGTGTGTGTGTGTGTGTGTATGCTAGTATTCGTTTGGAAAACTCGGATAACTCAAATTGTAGCAGAGCAAATCGGTACCCGAAGAAAAAATTGGAAATAAAAAAAGAAAGAACCAAGAAAATTGAACAAGACAAAACCAATCGCCAAGTGCCTAAGCTCCAAGTCCAAAGAAAAAAAAACAAAGAAGTAGAAAGACAAAGACGTAGAGAGCGATAAACTAGAATAATCATAAGGAGCCAGGCAAACCTAAGTAGGTTTCACCTAAACGGATCTTCAGAGTAAAGCCGGCTTAGGATTATTTTTAGTATATATATATATATATATATATATATATATATATATATATATATATATATATATATATATATTAGTGAACATAGAATTCAACAATTAGAGGCGACAGTCTGTTTCATGCTAGATGCAATTGTCAGTCCACGAGTGCTGTTATTTTTCTCGGCTATTTATATATACGGGTCAGTGGTGTATTGTAGGTAGCCAATTTTGGCGGTTATTTTACCGGAAGTCGTTTATTTCTTTATTTATTTGGGCTAAATTGTTTTGCTTGTTTTTTATTTTTTATTTTTATTTTTTTATTTTTATTTCTTATCTTATATATTTAGTTATTTATTTTTATTAGTCAGTGTTTTTATTAACGTAATAAAAAAATGTTTATATCGCTTATTTAATAGTTTTGTTTTGGTTTGGGAAGATAAAGGTATTTATTCAATTTTGGGGTTGATTGTTGTAGTTTATTCTAGCTATTATTTTGGTGGGAGCAGTTTTTAATTTGTTTATTACTTCATGTATTTATTTGGATTGATTATCTTTATTTGTTTTTTCTAACAGTTACTTTATCGGGATCGGTTTTTTGGGTTTATTTATTTGGGTTGAAGGTAACATCTAGAAAATCTACTTCGTTTAGGTTAGTTTTTATATCTATGTTGAATCCATTATTTTTGAAAATCTTTATTATTGCGTTTCTAGTTTTGTCTGTGTTTTGTTTGTTACAGTTTCTTAAGATTATGAGACCGTCGTCCATGTAGAGTCCTGTGTCATTTCTATCTATTATTTTGTTTAGTTCGTGTAGTAAGTAAATATCTATGATTTCGCATCTAAAAAATAATGCATGTCAAAGCTTCCCATTGTAGTGTCAAAGATCCCATCTTTCTTTATCCATGCTTCTTCATTGTGAAATAGTAATGATTTACGAGAGTGCTTAATGATGTCGATTTCGTTTGGTTTTATTATTATTTGTTCCTGAGCTAAGTTGATGGCCTTGATTGCGTTCTGTTATGGATGGGTAAAATTCTTTCATATCTAATTGTAGGAATTGGCAATTTTGTTATTTATGCTGTGGAACCAGTCAATAGTTGCTTTTTTTTTCCACTGGTTTACTCCTAACTTCTTCCTAAGTTCAGAATTAATTCTTTCTAGTATCGTTTTACTTATTTTACCTAGTTCGCTTTTGGCTGGGTTTATGAGTCTGCATGCAGGGTTGGTTTTGAAATTTTCTTTATGGTCTTTTAGTGTTATAAAGGCTTGTGACTTGCTGATACAACTTATTCGGTCATCTAGGTCTAAATTTTGGGCGATTGTTTTAGCTTCCTTATTGATATCGTGTTTTATTGTTTTTGGTGCCTTTTGTATGTTTTGGTTATGTTGTTCTTGAGTAATTTATTGTGCATAGGAAGGATTAGTTTGTGTAATTTTCTTGTTTTGTCAGCTGCGATAAATACATTTGCAGAATTGTTTATTTTAGTTATATTTTTTTTAAATGCATCTTGTTTTTTATGGAATTTTATGTTTCTAACTAGGTCAGTTAAGTCTTTCTCGAAGTCGTCTAATTCTTTTTTTTTTGCTGGGGAGGGGGCATTTTTTGGTTTTGAAGCCGTGTTTTTCCTTGAGTGTATTGCTATTTTGAAGGCCCGGGTTGACAAAGAAGTGCAACTGTAGAATAAAGAATGAATGTCCATTAAACGGTAATTGTTTACAAAACAACGTAATATATCAAGCCAGATAATGAAGAAATGTATACATAGGAGTAACTGAAGGGCCCTGGAAACAAAGAAAAGATAGATAGATAGATAGATAGATAGATAGATAGATAGATAGATAGATAGATAGATAGATAATATTAGTGGTAAATATACACATACATATGCAATCATATATCTAAAATATCTAAATATATATATATACATACATACATACATACACATATATATTTGTATAAAAAATAATTCCAAAAGGATAGAATCCAGGTAGAACTCAATGTCGAGGACAGAATAAGGATATAATAAAAAGGCCTAAACACTAATATTCTATGGTCATAATTTATTCCATTGGAATCGTAAATACGATCCAATTCATCAGACCTACAAATTCAAAATAAAACAGAAAAAACAACTCCGGGAATAAAAAATAAAATTTAGTAAGAGTGTATGTATGAGAGTGTGGGACGAGTAAAAGAAAGCTATAGAGAGGGGTAACAGACGAGAGAAGAACAGGAAAAGAACAGGAAGGTCTAAAGATGAAGGTGGGGATTAAAATTTAACAGAGAGAAGTTTTAAAGAGGGGAGTCAAAGACCGCTTAAGTGAGAGAAATATGAATGCTGTCGGATGTCTAATACAATAAAGATGTAACCGGAAAGGATACATTTTGTGGTGACATACACGCACAATAGACGATATAATCTTAAAGATCAGAAGATGAGAGAGGGAGAGGAAAAGAAAGGGGTGGGGGCGAGATATGGGGCGGGGGAAACTAATACCAAAGGGCATTTACTGAAAGGGCCGCTGGGTAATTAAGAAAATTTGACAAAATTAATATCGACTACAGATTACAAATCAAATATAAACATATAAAAAAACAAATATAACGATTAACTAATCTAGCAAGGACCTATATTTCTATGTTCAAAAACACATGCGTATACACACATACACAATAACATATTTATATTTACACGTACATACATACATATAGGCGTGTACACACATACATCTACATATACCCATGTATATATATATACATATATATATTCATATACATATATATATACATACATATACATCCACATATATACATATATACATATACATACATAAACACACACACATACATACATATACACATACATCCATACACATACACTCTTACATATATATACATTTACACACATATATACATACGGACATGCACATACGTACACATAAACATATATACATAAAAGCTTATATCTCCATACAATTACATAGAGCCATCTAAACAAATAAACAATGTATCCCTTTATCGATCCGTCTAACTATACATTCATGCATACATGCATACATATACACCCATATACAGATATATATATATATATATACCAAAACATACACACACGCATATAAACACATCTATATACACATCTACCTACATATACATACATACATATACGCATACATATATACACATATACATATATATATATACATATACATACATACGTATATATACATATATATATATATACTCCTACATATATACACATATACACACATACACACACATGTACGCACATATACATATCTATATATAAATCAAAATGTAAAATTTAAAAAAATAAAATTAAAAAATTCTGTCTCAAAAAACAAAAAAATTAAATACATAGCGCATCACATAAACATACACAATGATATATATAAATAAACATAATAGTCATTCCATTAAAATGTCATGCCCGATGTTATTTAACCATGAATGGAACTGACATAAGTGACAACACGTTATAAAACGGTGTTTGTTTTGAATCGTTTCCTATGTCTACATTTAAAAAATCTACGAAGATTAGCAACTCATCTTGATTCTTATCTTTAATAATAATTTTTTTCCGCCATGCACAGATCACATCGATCGCGGAAGTTATAAGGGGTTCTAGCTCTTAATAAGTATCTCCATTCGAAAAGTGGGGTTAGTCCCTTATCCACCAGACCCCAGAAGTGTTTGGATAAGGAAGTTTGATTTCTGAGCTATCTATATCTAAAAGAGCGTCTTTGGTTGTATAAACGCTGCTTCCAATCTTCCAATCACCGGCGGATATACCTATATATCTTTTTTTTCTGGTTTATATTTTCCTCTGGGAAAATTGTTGCCTCGGATACTACATTTTCATACATACATTTACCCCCGATCGGACAATGGTCTTTATTCCTACATTTGCAGGTAGGGATTTTATTGAATTTCATTACTAGGGTAGTTTCTAAGTATTCTACAATTATGGGAAGATATGATTTTCTCCATATTTCTAACGCATGAGTAACTAATTTTCAATGCCTTCCTATTGAAAATTTTACGTAGTGAATGTTTACTATGAAAGTGTTTATCAATTAATCTCAGAAGGAAACTTCCTATATCAATGTTAGAGAGCCTGTAATATGGTGGGTTAAACCATATTATCTTCCTCTTTCTGTTTTTAGTTCTATTATTATTCTGATTTTTAAGTTTTCCGTTAAAGTTTAATTCTTGTCTAAAACCACTATTTTTGAGGGCTTCATTGTACATAAATTTATTATCGTTAAAGATTTTTTTTTACAGTAATCAACAAATTTTAATTAAACTATATATTCATTAAGAAAAACCGTTAAACTATATATTCATTAAGAAAAACCGTTATTTAACAAATTACAATCATTTTCAAGAATTTCTATCAAGATGGAATAAAAAATATTTATTGAAAAATAAAAATTATGATGCGCAAAAATAAGTGAACCCTAACATTTAATATTTGGTGACTCCTATTTTTGAGGTCACGAAGTTGGCCAGTCTCTTTCTATAATTTTTAAGAAGTTTCTTGTAAAAAGACTCCCACAATTACACGATATTACCTGTGTTTCCGGCATGTACTGACTTCTTTAACTTGAACCACAGTTCTTCAATTGGGTTTAGATCAGGACTTTGACTAGAACATTCCAAGACTTGAGATTTCTTTTTTCTAACCCATTCCTTTGTGAATTTGCTTCGATGATTCTTATTATTGTCCTGTTGAAAGATCTGGCCCCGAACTAAACCCAACTTTCGAACCGAAGGCAAGACACTTTCTTTTAAAATTGCTTCTTTCAAGTCCATTGTGCCGTCAATGCGTGCTATTTTGTCTGCTAGAGTTGAAGCAAAGAATCCCCAAATCACAATGGTGCTGCCGCCATGTTTAACTGTTGAAACCAAATTCTTCTCTTCAAATTCCGTATTAGAAGCTCGCCAGACATATTGCCTACTGTTACATCCAAAAAGCTCTAGTTTGGCCTCATCTGACCATAAAACCTTTTGCCAGAACCTTTCCAGCTTATTAATATAAGCTTTGGCATAGATGAGCCGATCTTGTTTGTGCTTTCTGTAAGCGCTAGATTTTTTCTAGTCATTTTGCTATGAAGTCTGACATCATTCAGATTTCATCGCAATGTAGACCCATACACATTAATTCCGACATTTGCAATAGAGCATTGGAGAACAGCAGAGGTAACAGCATGATTTGCCTGGGCTTGTTGAACTAGATGTCTACTTGCTCCTGCAGTGGTTTTTCGCAGATAACCACTTCTTCATTGCGACGCCGTCATCCAACAAGGGTTAAAAAATTCTGAAGAACGATCTTGTTCACCTATTGATTTTTATATAATCTGAGTGCACTCCGCGAAATTAATATTAAAGACATTGGACTGTATAGGGATGATGGGCTTATGGTTGTGAGGAAGTCAAAATTGATAATAATTGAAAACTAATACATAGAGAATTTAAGTGCCTAAATTTGAAAGTTACTATTAATACAAAATTTAAAAAGTTAAACTTCCTCGATATAACATTAGACTTAATGAAAAATATATACCAACCTTATAAAAAGCCTAATACCAATCCTTTATATATATATATACACCCGTAGTCAATAATAAAGCATATACCTTCATCCATAGAAAAACGAATAAGCATAAATTCTGCTAACGAAAAAAATATTCTATGCACACAGTAATTTTTATAATAAAGCTTTAAAGAATAGTGGTTATAAATGCCCTGACAGTATTATATAAAAAATAACCAGAGAAAAAATAGAAATAGAAAAATAATTTGGTACACATCCCCATTCAACCAAATGGCTAGTAGTGAGTTAGGACATAAATTTCTTGCTTTAATTGAAAAACATTTTCCTAGAAATAATACACTTAGCAAAATTTTTAATAAAAATGTCCTGAAATTAAGTTATAGTTGTACTGAAAATTTAGAAAAAATTATAAAATCATAATAATAAAATTTTAAATAAAATAGAATCAAAGAAATAGTGATCCCGAAATAAAAATAAATAATAGTAAAGAAAAATTGTAGGAATCCTGCAAATTGTTCATTGAATAATACATTTCTCACAGAACCTATCGTTTACCAATGCACTATCTCATCTATTGAGAATCCTAATACTGAAAAGTTTTATATGGGGAGCACTAAAATGAATTTAAATTAAGATAGAGTCAACATCTGTCTTCCTTCAATAATAATAAGTATCGCAACCAAATACCCCTATCCAAATACTTTTGACATTTAAAAGAAAGAAATAAAATACCCACTGTAAAATGGGAACTGATAAAAAACATGTAGATCTTTAAATGACCCATGTCCTTTGTGCCTACATGAACAGTTATATATTTTTAAGTTTCTGAAAAATAAAGATTTATTAAATCAAAGAAATAAAATAACAGTTTTTTGTAGACATTGTATTATGTTTTCTTTAAAAATTAATTATAAAAAAAAATTGTATAATTATATATCTATTATTTGATCAAAAATAAGAAAGTAAGAAAATGTGTAATTAAATTCTAATATTTTAATTTTGAATTAACCGATATAGTTTATTAATAAATATAATAAATATAGTATTTTAGATCTTTGTAAATAAAAATATAAATATAAAATTATGACTTAATCATATTTGAAAGCCCCTTTAAGAAAATCCCTATGTATTTTATAAAATAAGAAAATAAATGAATAAAAACGCCATTTGTAGTGTATTTTAAAAACCCAGACAGTGATGACACGTTCTTATATAAGGAAGCCAGTATCAAAAGACAAATTACAAACCCACACCTAACCCTTAGCCGATATTTATTTTGCCTCCTTAAATTATACTTATATCCTC